CAAAATCTCCCCAGACAGAGGGGGGGGGTGAGGATTTCGGGGAGTTGAGGTCCACCAATCTTCAAGTTGCTAAGGTTGAGAAACCCTGTTATAGAAAGTACATGATTTAAAGCCTTATGCCCATTGGATCTTTGTATGAGGTTCTGATGTATGGAAGCACAATGTCCAGCTGGATATTGTAGGGCTGGCCTTTTCAACAAGCTTTGAGAGCATCAGCATAGGCCTGTTTATGAAAATATCAGTCCTAGTAATACGATCCCTTTAAATTCTTTGTGATTTCTAATGGCTATTGAATTCCTAGTACGTGTAAGCTGTCTCTCTAGAAATAAACTCAAACACGCACACCACAGTTTTATCTACAGGATTGCTTTGTGGATGGTTTCTTGTATTACAGTTTTAATTAATGAGTTCTTAAATTGTTACCTAGATGATTGAATTGTATAACCTTTCACGTGTAAACACTCTTGTACTGCAGCTGTTGGTTCCATTCTACAGAACACCGTAATTTCTGTCTCTGTGGTCATACTTTAACATCGAATTAAGTAAGAACTGCAGATGTGCCTCCAGCCAAACAGAATAATCATTCTGCATTTAGAACTCACAGTTTGTGGCGCTAAAAGAAAGAACTCTGCATTCCTATCAAACAAGACAGCTTGATTTTCCACTGAGATAAATCACTGCTAAGAACTCATCCCACAATTTCTCCCTAGAGTGATTATGCTGTTTTATCTTAACCAGGAAATAACTCTCTTTTTTATCTTTATCCCCCCATATCCTAATGTAAAGAGAGCTGTTTTGACACTTAATACATTGTTGGGAATATGTTTCTTTTATGTTAGTTGCACAAAAAATCCACGTGGCAGCTTTGAACCTAGCATTTTGCTAAGTAGATACCACACAGGATTTGCTTTATTTGTTACCAGATTTTGGCATTTAAGTGGTAGCATATGCGAAATTATTAAAGACACAGTAATTAAATGAACTTGCAGAGAGAAATAGAAGGAAAGGTTGGTGCAGAGAAAAGAGTTGGCTTTGCCCTCTCCCATTGCACAAAATTGTCCCTGAAGGACTGCATCCTTCATCACAACTAAGTTCTTCACCTTTGCTTGAAAACATTGCATTTTTACCCTTGCAGTTTAAACATCCTGCTCAGAAGAGCAGTACTGGGGCTACTTCAAAGCTTGTTTGTTTGTTATATGGAGGGACAACTGAGAATAAGATGTGTGTTAACGCTTCTCAAAATAAGAGGTTCTATGAGGCTTTTGCCTTTTAAGGTTTGTTCCAACTTGACTTTCTATTCTAAATCCTAGTAGGAAAGATCTGGGTAAAGGTTAGCCTGAAATTAGGTGGAAATAATTTCATATTCTCCTCTCCTGCTTCTTTGGAAGGTGTACAACATAATCCTTCAGACTCAAAAACAATTCAACTGCTAAGGTTTTTAACTAGTTCAAGGTGCCACTGATGAATAGTTGAGCAGATAACAAGAATTCAACTGCTGCTTTTTATTCAAGATAACTTTGCACCAACTCTTGTTGAAAGGTTGAAGTTACGTAGTTATCTAGAATTAAAACAGTGAACATTGTGTAGCTACAGATACAGTTCTCTTAATTATTAAGCTTCTAGCATGCGTCTTTTTTGTTTCTTGCCTATGCAAGAAGGAACCTACACATTCTTACCACATATTTTAAAAGGATAAGATTTGGATTCTTGACTTTGTGAATATGATTTCGCCTTAGCATTATTTCTCCATAGCATTAACTGTGTTCACTGCTGCAAGGGTTAATCCGTCCCATCCTTTATTCTTTTAAAGGACAGGTGCAAACGTATCTTAAACAGAGGCATTTGAAGTTAGAGAGGAAGCTACTTTATAGCTTATGTAGGATAAGCAGCATACCATTTTTAAAGGATTCCCTATCCCAGACTTTCCTTCCTCATCCTGTCTGTAATGTTCTGTCTGGTAGGTTTGGATTGTCTTTTTTTTCTAATTTGAAGACAGAGGTCAGCCTATGACCAAGCAGTGCTGTTCCATGTAGTACAAAACAGAACTGAGGTGTCTGAACTCACACAGTTTGGGATTTCACCCCTCTGGGAGCGCTAAAGAAAAGTTGGCTTTGATTGAAGTCTCTGTGATTGTACTTGTATTCAGAAATAACACTAACAGTGAATAAACCAAAGCTCAACTTAAAAAAGATCAGTAATAGCAATAGATTGTAGGTATGCATGATTTAGATAGATTTTTGGATGGAAAGATTTGATTGATTGATTGATTGATTGATTGATTGATTGATTATGTTGATTATGTTGATTCTTAGTGACCACATAAATAGACCTTCTCCAGGATAATATGTCCCCATACTCACCCTTCAGGTCTTCTAAAAGACACCCATCACCTTTTTAATTGAACCCACTCACCTTGCTAGTTGTCCTTTTTTTCTCTTTCCTTCCACCTTTGTCAGCATTATGGAATTCTCAACGGAGCTGTGTCCAAGATATGATCATTTGAACCTGGTCATTTGTGCCTTGAATAAGAACTCTAGATTGATTTGTTCTGTGATCCATTTGTTTTCTTGGCTGTCCATGGTATTCTTGGGAGTGTTCTCCAACATCCATTTGCCTGCATAATTCTGATCTTTGTAGGTATAGAGGCATCATTGCATCTGAATATCTTTTCTAAGGCCTTCATTGCTACCCTACCAAGCAATAAATAAGGGGAGAATGTACAAACCTGGCTCACTCCTTTGCCAACCAGGGCATTCTGTTTTGCCATGTTCTGTCCATACCATGGCTTCCTGTCCTGTATATAGGTTTTCCATGGGAGCAATAAGATGTTCTGGGATTCCCATTTTCCTAAGCACATTCCACAGCTTGACATGATCAACACAGTCAAAGGCCATTATAATTAATGAAGCACATAGCAATTTATTTTTGGTATTCTTTGGATTTCTCAATTATCCAGTGGGCATCAGAAATAGTGTATCTTGTTCCTTGGCCTTTTTTAAAGCCAACTTGAACATCAGGCATTTCTCTTCCCATGTACAGCTCTAATTTGTGTTGGATGATCCTAAGCATTGCTTTGCTTGCATATAGAATTAAGAATATTGTACAATAGTTTACATACTCTGTTAAGTCTCCTTTCTTTGGTATTGGTACACAGACTGACTCCTCCAATCTGTTGTCCCCTGTGCCATTCCCCAGATTTGCTGGTATACTTTGGTTAGAATCTTTACTGATTCTTCTTCTGTTGCTTGCCATATTTCTGTACATACTCCATTAAGTCCTGTAGCTTTCTGACTTAGTAATGACTAAAGTGCTGATCTAAGTTCATCTTCTAGTACTAGAGGTACTTGTAAATAAGTAATATCTTCTAAGGTATCTTGGATGTTGGCATCTCTACTATATAGAATGAGCAGCAAAGGTTGCTAGATTCAATAAGCAAAGAGTCTGATTATGTATAAGGCAGTATCCTTAATGGGGCAAAAAGAATAATCAAGGAGATCTTCTTAACCCTACATAGGAGGGCAGAAGCAGTGGAAACAAGCAGAGTGAGAATCTTACTTTTACATCTGACACTCAGTGTATATGTAATCAGAGTTTCCTTTGAAAATCTGCATTCATATGGAAACCGCTGATTGCATTAATAGGAAACCTTTAAAGCATTTTATAAACTCATTTGACATTGTGGCTTTTCTATACTAATATTTAAAGCGTTTGTTTATTTGGAGCAAACTAAAAAGTAACACAATGGATGTTTATGATGTTTTACTGGATATATTATGAGCCACCTACAGTTATACAAGTGGGCAGCATACAAATAAATAAATAAATAAATAAATAGGATTCCAATATTGTTCCTACATTTGATGCCCAAAATCTGTCTTTTTCTCCTACATGTTCATAAGATTTTGTTTTTCCTTTTATTCAGAATGGGCTGCACTCAAAGATTCTTCAGCTTTTTGCTTACAAAAGCAGGGCGTAAATATGTTGCTGTATCATAATAAATTTGATAGCTGCTTCAGAGGGGAAATGGGAACGAACAGTGAGAGAGAAACATTTCCTGCTAAAAATGAAACATCAGCTAGTTCCTTAAGAAATGAAACTTCCCTTCATTAAAAATAATGTTGCAAAGATACCACCATATTGATGATTGTGTCAAAGAATATGAAAACACGGGTGTTCCTGGTATTTTTTGCTTTATTTATATTGCTGGGAAATCAGAATTACATGGGTTTCTACTTAATATACTTCAGAAATCCAACGAAACCCTGAAAACATTTAGGCCAATTCTGTGCTTTGCAAGCACTAGGACCATTAAAGAAAAACCAGAATTACGCTAAGCAAGACAGCTGTCTCTCCCACCATTAAGAAAGCCAAGGCATTGAAAACCGTACTCTTCACATGTATGGATTGGTGAAAACGGTATTGTTTAAACCTTCAGGATTGAGATCTTCGTGAACTATCACTGAGGCTGATTTGTAAAATTTGTCCTGGTGAGCTGCTGTTCAGAACAGTTGGTCAGCATTCTGAAGTCAAAAGTGAGGCACATGGATGGGAACTTCTTCATACCTTTTCTTCTTCAGCTGAAGTATCAAAGCCTATGTGGCAAAGTCAAGACGATGGTAGAATATTCCAAGAAGCCGTCTCTTTAAAGGACAGGGATTAAAGATGCAATTGCCATTGTTCTTTCAAAGGTCTTGAGCAAGAAAGTATATTTCCCAGAATCCGTTGAGGGCCATGCAGCTTGGAAAGAATTGTAGAATTATGCTATAATATCATTTTTCCCCCCAACTGATTGTATGTATGCATGATGGGCATGAGAGATTTATTCACTTCAGAATTTAAATTCCTCTGGAATGAATTCTGATGATTTTCAAGCAAAAACTTGAGACAACACCAGCACATCATCACTTTTATAATATCTGCTGAAATTTGAATTTAGAAAGCTTGATAGTTTGCTGAATCCCAGATTGGAGGATGTTTGGATATAGCATGCTTTATATTTATACACACCAAGTATGATTGCTGAGCTCCCTGTGTTTATTGAGCACTTTATTTTGCAGGGTATTTGAATCATTTTCTGGAAGCTTGTAGCAATGAGCTCTTTTTCCGCACTTGTTCTGTGCTACTTCGAAATTCTACACTTGATACTCAGCTCCTGGAGAAACTCAGCATTCTGCTTCAAAAACTTTCAAAAATCAAGTAAGTCTTCCAACCTCAACATAGTTTTCTCAGTATTAATATTACCTATTTGTTGAAGTGGGGGCAACCCAGGGTTTTCATAGCTCAGGACATTCATGGGAAAGCTAACAGAAAAGACATGGATGCAGTAGCTGAACTAGACAGCAGTCAACCAAAATAAAATAGGGCAGAGCCAATCACAAACCACCAAGGAAAGTCATAGATTTATGGTAGAGACAGAAGGTTGGTCGGTAACTATAGAAACTAGAAACTTTTCAGCAGCTCTACAGGTATAGTTCAGTTATGTTTTTATTTCCATTCACCACCCAGAGTTCCCTGGGTAGATGGGGAGCTATAAAAATGCATTAAGCAAACCAACCAACCATATAGCAGGGTAGGAGAGTCCTCAGGCTTTCAAATGTAATAATAAATACTTAGTGAAGTTTTTGTTTTTAAAATTATATTTGTACAGATGATATTTTTAACATCTTAAATAAATAAAAACATCAATAATGTAATCTGAGCATATCCTTCGTAGCAAAAAATATGGGAATAACGGCTTTCTCTTTCAGCTTTTGAAGGCTTTTCTAACTTGTTTGTGTCTGTTCTTTTTCTATTCCCTTTTCTACAATAATGAATACTGGTGCCGTGTCTTGCAGGAGTCATGGTGCTGTAACTGAAAGTCATATTTATTCAGAAGGGATATCCTGTGTACAGCCTATGAACTTTATTTTCCAGGCTGTAGAAACAAAAATCCAGAGGCACCGGGAGTCAGATGTTTATAAATTTAATAGACTACTTTTCTTAAAAAATAACAACATAAAGTATCTATGAATAACAGCACATACTGTTTATTCCCGTTTGAAAAGTTGAAACTTCAGAATCAAATGAAATTGAACTTCTGACTCTAGTTGTTTGAACTGATTTTTTAAATTGCATAATATTTTTCAAAATGTGTTACAGGAGTAATAAGAAGATGTTTGAGCTGTTTACTATCCACCTGATGATTCAAGAGCTACTGAGGACAGCACATCCAGATCATGCCTTTTTATGTATTAACCTTAACTCAATTCTCTTTAATTTGGGTTTAATAAAAAACAACCCCCTTGAAAATAGTCAAAATGCAAGTGACTAGCAGATTGCATTTTATTAAATCTTGTTTCCAGTGGCTTGTTTGTGTTATATGAACTAACAAGATGTGGAATGGGAATTGTCACAATAGGTGTCTTGATTGTACCAGCCTTCAGAATGCATCAGTTAGAATTGCTTTAATGAGAATTTTTCAGTTTTATAATGCTGGATTGTTTACCTGTCAGTACGTTACTTGTTTTAGACTGGTCTTAAGCCAAAAGGACAGGCATACAGCAGCCCACAATACCTTGTCCTTGCGATGTGACCAATCCTGCCAAAGCCGAATAGAGCCACAGACAGCATCATTTTGCATAAGTAATCTTGCATCCATTTGGACAGGGCAGGCAATAGGGATAAAATGGACACATTGTGGAGCTTCACAGAAACTTAATGCATCCATTTTTGTTTAGAAACCATGAAAAAATCATGGCACAAAATTTTGATATGTCAATTGAAGCCAGAGAAATGTGGTTGGAAGCCAGCCTGTGTCCTATGACCTGTAGGTTGCTTAACCGGTCAGTACAGAAAGAATAGTAATATTCTTTTGCCTGGGCAGCTGGACCTTCTCTACAGATTGTCATTTCCTCCTCATAATGTTTGACCCCAAGGTTTCAGTGATAATTGACAGGATCAGATTTCCTGGCACTTTCATCCCAGAAGATAGTGTTTCACTGAGGTCAGTGGTATATCTTTTCATTAAATATGTGTTTACCTGTTTTGTGGAAGTTATTAGTAGCTGGAAAGATTGGTGTTGGCCTATGGAAAGAGAGCACTGATTTTTAGCTGAGTTTCCAAGAACTGCTTTGTCAGTGTTAAGAATGTGGTGTACCTGAAGACTGTTGCTATGGGTCACCCTCAGAAGAAGCCTACTTCAGACCATTTCAAGTTAAGCAATAATCTATAGAACCATGCATGTTTTCAAAATTATTTTAAAGACATGCTTCAAAACACGTGAAAACACAACTATTTAAAGTAGCTATATAAGAAGGCACATTAAAGACATAGTTGCTTTAAAGAGATTGTGTGCTTGTGCTATAATGCATTCCAAAGTACCTCTTCTGAATCATTGAGCAGAACATTTAAAACATTTCCTGATTTTTTTATGTTAGAAAAAGCCCAGTTATTAAACCCATAATCTTGGAAGATACTAATTTACTCTCTGATATTTTCTATATGCAGGGTCTCATAAGGTTCAAAAATAATTTCCATTTTATCCTTTATGTGTATTTATTGTCTATTGTCATGTTATAGTGAGTAATCCAGTTTTACATCATTTTAATGTAATAAAATAACAATCTTAAACCCTTATTTATGTTGACAGTGTTATTCTTTTAAGAAAAGATATTCTTTGAGCAATTTTACTTTTTGGGAGTGCAGCCTTTTCACTGACAACTTTATATATTGGATTGAACTTAGATTGCCCATTCCAGGAACAGGAAGGGCTTCTTCCATTCATAGAAGGTCCTAAGTACCCTGAGACTGCTTGCTGGAAGAAACGGGGCAGGAGATGGCCTTTGTCTGAATCCTTATTCTGCCCACAGCCCTTTTGTCACCTCTTGTTTTGCTCCATAGAACCACCCCAACCCACACAGCAGCTTTTCAGGAGGTTGCAAGGAAATGGTGGAATCAGCAAAATGACAGGAGCATGATGAGCAAAGTGGCTGTCTGGGCACAGACACACGTAGACAGCCAAAAACAGGTAGGTCACCAAGTAGGAGGGCAAGCCTTGCAGATGATGCAGCTGCTATAACAGTCTGAAAAGAAGTTTTCATGCAAGCTACCACATGTTGCAAAAACATTTCTTTAGAATGTTTTGGACAGCCCTAACAGTTCTTCATTGGGGGTGTTTCAGCTTTTAATGAAAGAAAGGGAAATAGCATCTTTGTTCTAAAAGCAACTGTAAGGTGGGGGAGCAGGTCTGGGGGGAAGGGATAACTTAAAAAAAAAACTCTTAGCTTGATTAGAGTGCTTAGTAGACTGTTAAAAAATAGGTGGTGGATGTGTAAACACTTGATTTACAAGTTCCTCCTACTCATCTTTATAAAGCAGGCCAGCTGGTTTCCTCACTTAGTGCTAGCCCTCCCTGGTAAACTCATCTGGGAACATGCTCTCTCATCTTTGCAATCTCCAGTTCAAAAACTTGCCATTTCTTGGAAACTAAAATAAGCCAGCCATATAGTAAACCTGTGATTACAGTGAACTTACATGAGAACAGCAGTTTGCGTAAGGTGAATACGTAAAAACCCAAAGATAGGAACGGAAAACCAGGGAACTTGTTAGTAACTCATTACAAAGGTTTTGTAAATGCGCACACAGCTAAGTTTTTCCATAGCCCTAACTTTTTTGAGACTTATGGACTTAATTGTAACTAAGATAATCATGCCACTTAACCTCTAAAACAGACATGCCCAGGCATGATTTCTGTATTGCAAACATGCAGCTGGGACAATGAGGAATAGAACGTGGGACACAGTGATCAGAACACAAATATATTTCTGATAAAACGCTCAGTTAACAAAACAGTTGTAGGGGAGCTTTTCTGAGATTTCATTTCTAGGAAAGTGCTAGCTTTTTGTCCCATGGTGTCTAATAAATTCAGTTTTTATTTGCAGGCAACGCAGTGGAGGTTATAATTAGAAAAAAAATAAAATGGTATCAGCATGTTCTAATTTGATAAATGGGTTGCGGAGTGTCTTTCTCCTTTCACTTCTCTTACCTACGCCCTTCTTTGGTTTGCTTCTGTCCTGCACTTGTTTCTGCTGCATTACTGCCTCTGGGTAGTTATTCCAGCCTTCCTGCTCTTCTTTGAACATTCAAGATCCAGCCATGGGGGGATCAGGGAGAGAGATTTACTGGGGCAAGCCAGAGATTGTATACACTGAATGGATACATCTTCAGTGCTGAAGATGTTACCTGGCCGGGTAATGAAATGTCTGCAAGAAAAACAACCAAGCTCAGAGCACCCCAAGGACTCCACAGTTCAACCCTGAGCTACATATATTCTCTTTCAATAGAAGAGAATATATGTAGCTC